AACAGAGAGAGAGAGAGAGAGGCAGAGACATAGAGAGAGAAACAGAGACCGCTCTACGCTAGCATAATATACCCCAGCACTATACACTGCACGGGACATTTGGGGGGGGGGGGTGTTTAAAGAGAGGTGATCGGACCAATGTGGGCACAAACTGTATTGGACGGAGTTGAACAAAGTGTACAGGTTTGAGGCTTCTATCGACACTCTTAACTTATATAGTTGAACGAAATGTACACGTTTGACGCTTCTATCGACACTCTTAACTATCTACGAGGTGGGACCTCCAAATTTGACGTCTATCTCCGATAGGAGCGAACCACATCGGTTGAGAGCTTTAGAAAACTCCACGAAACACCCAGTCTGGGATTCAAACCAGGGCAATCCGTTCCCTAGTTCAGCATGATAGCCACTGAGCTAACGGAGTTTTTACGGCTCTCGCAACTGCATAAGGTCATATGAACGCCAAGGAGTGGAATCAGACTTACTCTGCTCACCTCTCTAACCTCAACAGCACAAAGTCTGCTTCGACTTTCAAGGCACCCCGGAAATAGCAAACATACGAAAGAAGTAGAGGAAAAATGACGATAGTAAGGATTAGGAAAGAAAATGCGGCACAGTATGAGCATGACATTGCTAAATCAGCCCATTTACAATTCTACTGTACATAAGAACATGTTCATATCCCTCCTTTGGGAATGTCCTCCTAAAGAGACTTCAGTCAGTGGCACTGCCTGGGGGAGGGAGTTTGAGTAAAGAGAAGCGCTGTGACGCAATCACGGACATATAGTGCGGGGAAGAAACAAGACTGGCCGACAGACAACAACAGAGGGGAAGAAACAAGACTGGCCGACAGACAACAACAGAGGGGAAGAAACAAGACTGGCCGACAGACAACAACAGAGGGGAAGACAAGAAGTGAGAGCTACCAGTGGCGCACTACAACCAGACGTACTGTTTGTTTTAGTAAGAGTTTTACGGCACTTTCAACACAATAAGGTCATATTAGTGTCGGAGAATTAGAGGTGTTACAAGAGAGTAACAAACACAAAGAAGGAGGCGGAGATAAAGACGATAGATGTTTGATAGGAAAGAAGAAGCAAACCACACCAGAGCACCCGCCAACCACCCACACCCGTACAATGAATACTAAATACTACACTACTGTGACTGCTACACTATTGTGACTGCTACACTACTGTGACTGTTACACTACTCTGACTGCTACACTACTGTGACTGTTACACTACTGTGACTGCTACACTACTGTGACTGTTACACTACTCTGACTGTTACACTACTGTGACTGTTACACTACTCTGACTGTTACACTACTGTGACTGTTACACTACTCTGACTGTTACACTACTGTGA